GTGAACAGCTCCATTGAAATGCGTTGTACAAGCTACATAGAACGATATAGCGGAACAAATCGCGCGATAAACGGCTTAGTGTGTACGGGGCCTTAAGGATGGACTATCCGCTACAACACAAAAGTGAACCACAAAGGGTCAATGCTACAAATCATGGACGGGAGCATGCTATGCCTTGGGTTCTATAGGGCCTTGTCCCACAACTGACCATGGGAATAATGTTGCTGTGTGTTTCAAACTCCTCCTTTTTCTTTCTCCATTTGTATTGGGTTAATGTCTTCTCTTTATGGGAGTATGATAAACTATTTTTGGACCAAGACAATTGTGTGTATTACAGATTGTGTGTTATGGTTTGGCTAACAATACCTGTAGGTTGATAAGAATTAGATTGAAATGAACACCAATATGAAGTCTCCATGGCACTAAAGAAAACAAATATGGTTCAGCAAATATTAAACAGGGTGGAAAACTGCATCACTGTATGAGACTGAGAGTATTGTACTTTTGTATGTGGAACCTAGAAGAGGAAGCACATTAGGAAACTTGAGAAACGAGTTGGCTTAGTGACTTGTTTCCAGTTTTAATTCTGTGCTTTGTGTTGATTGTATAATTAGGCTTTGTTCACATCAATGTTCTTTTTATTTTATTTATTTGTTTCTGTTCTCTAGTCATGTCTGGGTTCTGGTGACAGTTAGTGAGAACTGTTTACTTAAACAATGCAAATTGGGTTTTGATAATTTCCCCTTATTTCAAATATGTTTATGTATACCTGTTTCACTAGAAATACCTGGTTGATTCTAACAGTCCGCCTTCCTCATTGTAAACTGACCACATAAAGCATGGAAGCAGGACTGCTTACGTGGTCCGTTTGTGCCTCCAGAAGGCACGGATTCCATACCAACTCACAGTGTGCCTTTTATCTTATGTAATCTGTTTAGTTGGCATGCGCCTCAGCCCAGCCCTTCCTTGTTGATTGACAGTGGCCCCCGGTCAGAGCTTCATTGTCTAACTACAGATACTTCAAGCCAGTAGAGCACAGGTGGGCAACTCTGGCCCTCTAGCTGTTGTGGAACTGCAAGTCCCATGAGGCATTGCAAGACTGACAGTTACAGGCATGTTGGGATTTGGAGGGCTGCAGTTGCCACCCTTGCAGTAGAGTGAGTGACACCTCTGATGTAATGATCTGCCCACCCACTTCACAAACTGCCCGACCCACACTATCCGGAAAAGAACAGGAGAGAATCCTGTGCGGTCACGTGACCGCACAAGATAAAAAGGTCAAAAAGATTGTTTTACTGTTTTTTTTTATCTAGTAAGGTCACAAGGCAATATAATATTTATTACCATGCGTCTATGTAGTTGTTTATGTGTTATTTCATGATATAGGATAAACCTTTTTATAGAGTTTTTTTTTTTTTTTCTTGATTTACGTTGGATCTAGCATCAGATACATTTTTTGTTTTTATGTTAAGTGCATGTGTGTTAAGTACTATGTAAATGTAAAGCTGGCCATACACTTGTAGAATTGAGTTCAAAAACTTTCATTTTTGTAATGTTCCTTAAATTAAGAGCTATGGGGTGCAAATGGACAATCCTTTGTTTCTTGAACATGTGTGTGGTTTCCAGACAGAAAAAGTAATTATTGTGTGTGAGCTTGGATGAAAAACATGATATCACTGGTTTAGAGATGACTTAGGGCTAGTTCACACCATATGCAGTTGTGATGGAGTCCGTTCAGTTTGACTGCTGCAGCCAAAATACATCACAATGCTTCCCTATGGGCTTTCTCGTGCTGTATTCACACCATTACAATCCGTTCAGATGCAGTCAGAAAAAGTACTGCTTGTCCTATTTTAGCTGCATCTAACTGCACCGGAACGCATCAAACTGCATGCAAATGCAACGGAACGCATACAAAAACAGAATTGATTGTGGCATCATCCAGGGGAAAAAACGCATCTGAGCGCATCAAAAACGCATCACAACGGATTGCACTGCCACAGCACAGACGCACGCAGTTGTGATGCAGTTTCTAAGGGTTAGTTCACACCAGAAACTGCATCACAACTGCGTACATCTGCGCAGTTGCATTGCGATCAGTTTTGATGCATTTGTGATGCGTTCAAATGCGTTTCCCCCCCCTGGATGATGCCACAATCAATTCTGTTTTGTTTGTTTGTATGCGTTCCGGTGTGTTTTGATGCGTTCCGGTGCAGTTAGATGCAGCTAAAATAGGACAAGCAGTACTTTTTCTGACTGCATCTGAACGGACTGCAATGGTGTGAATACAGCACGAGAAAGCCCATAGGAAAGCATTGTGACGTATTTTGGCTGCAGCAGTCAAACTCAACGGACTCCATCACAACTGCATATGCTGTGAACTAGCCCTTAATCCTTTAAATCCTGGCGCCTCTGCAATTCTTGGCTGTGTTGACAATCGCTGACACTTATCAGCTCTTGCTGCAGCCTCTCACTTCATGACTCTCCTACGCTGCAGTGATGGAATGTCCCTCAGCACCCTCACATCCACTGTATATAGAGCGTGATGATTCGGGGACCTTAGAGCACTGCAGCGGAGGGGGAAAGAGGCTCTTGGAATCTGTCTAAGAGCAAGCCGGCTCTGAGGATTGGGTGTGTATATACCTTTTATTTTCTTCCCTAGACACAAACAAGCACTTAACCGTAGCCCCACTGCAAGGGTTAATAATAATTTTCCCAGGGGTTCTTCTTGAAGAGGTTATCTCATCCCAGACTCCTTGTCTGGAGCTCAAGTCGTACTTTTTGAAAATCATACCATTGCTGCATATTGAGACTTGTCGGAATTTTTATTTATTTATGCAGAATTGCGAAATGATAAAGTCTACAGTAAGGATCATGCTAAGTCTACAGTAAGGATCATGCTAAGTCTACAGTAAGGATCATGCTAAGTCTACAGTAAGGATCATGCTAAGTCTACAGTAAGGATCATGCTAAGTCTACATTAAGGATCATGCTAAGTCTACAGTAAGGATCATGCTAAGTCTACAGTAAGGATCATTTTCTTTCATGCAGGTATGGTGGAAAGAAACAGCTGGTAGGCTACACTCACATGGGTGATTGATGCAGGAGAGCCTCTGGAGCCCCTGTTTGTTCAGGCTATGTCTGCTTTGCTATTTGCAGTGGAAGTCGTTGAGTGAAGGGGGGAAGACTGCATGAAATGCTTGGGTTGACGCAGAGCTTTGCCCAATAAATGCAGAAGCATGTGCTGAACAGCTTGGTTCAATACAACCTTCAGGGCAGGTTTGGTCACTCAGTATCCATTGAGCTGCGTTGTTCTGCGCACCACCGCACATGTATGGTGTGGACAGGGCATATAGCAACTAATAGTTTGTGCCCTGTTCACACCATACATGTGCCCTTCTCAGTGTTGTAAAAAGAGAAATTTGCTGGGAAAAGGGGAAAAAAGCGATGTGCCAACCATATGAACAGAAAATTACATTTCTGTGGGAATTCGCAGATGAAATGTTTCCTTTTAACCATACTGGATCCGTTCTTTAGACCCCATTCACACTGAGTTACATCAGAAAAAGCGCTTTTTCAGCGCTGATTTGAGCTGCGCAACTTTGAGAGACATTGAGCTGCAGTGCACATATTCTCGCGCTAGGTAGCACTGCTTTTGCCATGGACTCCGTAGCTGTTACATTGGGCTGTATCCAATCAAAAGTCTCCTTTTTAATGACATAATTCATCTTCCTGTTTCCTGCTTATGTCCCTTCTTATATTTCTGTGCAAAAGTGGCACTTCTGTAGCGCGACAATGTCGTACAATGTCGCGCAAATTTGTGTGGCATTGAGCTACACCATTGAAGTCTATTTGGCCAAATCGCACGAAATCCACCGAAAAATAGGTCATGTTCAAGCGACAAGCAGGCGACATTGAGCTGTGAGATGTGAACAGCTACAGGCAACATTGAGCTGTGAGATGTGAACAGCTCCATTGAAATGCATTGGACGAGCCACATTGAGCGACATTGAGCTGATGTTTGAGGGATTTTTGAGCTGAAATCGCTCAGCGTGAATGGGGTCTTACTGTTTCATTATCTCAAAGACTAAAATGGAAAATTTTAACAACAATAAATTACAGAATAGCTTGTGCAGCAGTTATATAAACGTATAGATCTTGCATGAATGCAATGATTAACCCCTTCGTGACTGACGACGTACAGTGTACGTCGCCAGCATCGGGGCTGTTTAAACAGACTCCCGGCGACTTTTGCCGCCGGGACTCTGTTTAAACTTGTAGAGCCGACTGTCGGCTTTACAACAGAAGCGAAAGTGCCCCATATGATCACAAATCTCCTATATCACACCATATTTAGAACTCTGAAAAGTTTCCTAATGTTAACATACTTCCTTTAACCATACAATACTAATTGCACTCACCCAGAAGAACAGTTTTTAGTAGCTTAGTTTTAAAAAGAAAATCTGGGGAAGCTCCTTTTTTTTTTACCATGCATTTTGAACATGTATTTAAGTGTGTTTTGTGAATTTTGCATGCATTTTAATGCAAACAAAATTGTAACCAAAAAGCGTAAACCCTGTAATGTGTGAAAGATGCTTGACAATGCTTGTTAAAATTGCATGAAAAAAAAGTGGATTCAAAGTGCAACTGTGAACAGGCCTTCAAATGTCAGGGCCAGTTACCGAGAAGTCTGTTTCAGAAAGGTTTTGCCTGGAGCCTGGGAGTTACTGTGCAAATTGCATATCAGAATGTGAAAGTTAAGCTGGAGAATATATATGTATGTATGTATGTATGTATGTACGTACGTGCATATATATATATATACGTACGTACGCGCGCGCGTGTGTATATATATATATATATATAGCTTGTGTATATATATGTGTGTGTGTATATATACATACATTTACTAAAGGATAATAATCTAATTTTGAATGTATAATTTTGAATTTTGTCCTCATCTGCAAGTTTACTTATTCTTAAATCTGTTTCATTTTCAGCATTCGAAGTGTGATGCAAAAGTATTTAGAAGAAAGAGGTGAATTGACCTTTGACAAGATATTCAACCAGAAAATAGGTGAGCTGTGTATACTGTACTTCTAACAGCGTACAAAAGTGGACTGTTGATACACTGGTATTAGGTCATGTTTTTTAATGGTATACTTTTTAAATGCTTTCATTAGAAGAGTCCAGCTAACGTAAGCTGTTCTGATTGGTGGGACTGTCATTCAACAATTCGAATGAATTAAAGCATCCCTGTCAGTCATTGCAATACCATAATTAAATAAGAGGCCCCCTGTATGGAACATATTTCATAGTCACCCGCTGGGTGTTGTGGTTCTTACTGCCGGCTGCTATGTCAGTACATCCCAAACTTGTTTTTATTTAGAGTGGGAAAGGGTTACAACCGCTCTTTGTTTTGTGTTTTGTCAGGACCATGGACTTTGCAAACTGCCTTTTTCCTGCTACGGAGGCTGTGTGCGTGGGGCTGCATGCTGCATGCTGCTACTTAATTGCTCCAAGTACTGTGCAAGGTGCCTCTCCTGCTGGGTGGTCATCAGCTGCTGTGTTCCCTCAATACTGTAGTTACCCCTGTTAGTAAAACCTACCTTGCATCGTCACTGTTTTGGTGTGAAATATCGAGAAAGGGTGAACTGTATTGTTTTTTGGTTGTACCTAGCGTCCAACTCTGAAAGGTGGCGCTATACCCAGTTAGTGATGATCTAAAGCAAGGTTGTGTCCTCCACTAAAGGCGAAGAAAGGGATTTTCTGGTGAGCACAAGAATCCGTCTTTTTGGTAGAATCAGAGAAATGCTGTAAAGGCACGCTATACTCCATATCAGTTGGAAATGTCAAATTGTTTTCTAGGCTGCCTTTATTTTACTTTTAACCCTATAGTGGCAGGGTCACTTTAACCTACTATATTCCATTATTTTCAATAGAGGGAAGTTTCGGAAAGGCCGTTTCCTACTATGGCCACATTTTTTTTTTCTGTTGCTATTTTTTTTTACATTATTCTGCTGTTCACGTTTGACTTCAGCATCGCTACTATTGACAAAATTCGGGTATATGCAGTGAAACAAACACCAAGGGGGAATTTATCAAAACTAGAGAAGAAGAAACTGGAGCAGTTGCCCATGGCAACCAATCCGCTTCTCTCTTCGGTTTGCACAGTTAAGATTTGAAAATGAGAGAGAGATGCTGATTGGTTGCCCTGCATTGCTGCTCCAGATTTTCTCTGCTCCAGTTTTGATTTATTCCCCTCATAGGGTTTTCAATAGGTGGATTGTGGTTATGGTTTTGATCAAATATTCACACCACCTGCATGTGGCTGCTCCAGATTTTGTCTGCTCCAGGTTTGATAAATTCCTCTCCATGTATTTTGGCAATCTTTATCAGTAGCCCCTTAAATTGAGGGACTTTAAATTGAGGGACTTTAAATTGGTATTAGTCAGCAACATATGTAAAAATATTTGCTGCAAGAATGTGGCATTTTTTATGTAACATATCTTTACTAGAGGGAAATGAAAGATGTAGGCTTGGCACAGCAATTTGTTTTTATTATGTTTCTGCCTTCTTTAATTCCTCCTAATTCAGCATATTTGTAGAAGTCTTGTTTCTGAATTTATAAACTTTGTGGGGTTTTTCTCTAGCTGCTATTCGAGATTCCAGGGGAAATTTGGACAAGAATAGGCCTGTTACTTATTTCGTTTGGATGGTCTCCCAGTAATGCCATAGAGCTAAAATGAATCTTCTACTTCAGCGTTTTTGTTTACAGCCAAACCATTTTCCGAGTGTTTGGAGAAGGCGATTCGAAGTTAATCATCTGGTTTTATTGAAGTAATCCATCTTATCGATTTATTTTTGCAATAACAGGATCATGCTGACCAGGCTGTAGGCTGATGGTGAAAAGCCATACATATCGTTTAGTCTGCTGGAAAAACAAAATGTACTGCATTTTATAAACAACCAACAAGGCAGAAAACAAGTATGAACGTGTTTTGGCTTAGATGTTAGAGGAATGTGGTTGGTAAGGTGATAAGCTCATAGGCTGTTTAGGTAGTAGAGATATGCATATAAAGTTTGAGAACTACAACAGAATTGGATTCCTTTTGTAGGTATGAATTTGTTTGATACTTTCTATTGACAGAAAACACGAAAAACTGTTTTTCAAATGTGGAGTTCACATTGTAGAGCTTACATTTAAAGTGAGTCTGTAGTTTGCCCATGCAAGCAACAGGTTCTCTGTTGTGGCAGCCTCACCAGTAGTACATACTTATCCCCCCTTGTCGTTACATTCTGCCTCGGGGATCAAAAAAACAAACAAACCAGGAGGTACTATGGTTTTTTTTTTAGGTGTAATTACCAGTGCTTTCTTTTTAACTTCCCACCCTATTTTGATTTATCCTGTGCAGGGAATTGTGGGGTATAATTATATAATTATTGAAGTTCTCTTTTAACTTCCTGCCTTCATTATGATATATATTGTGGACAGGATTGTGGAAAGATGCTTTAAGATGTCAGACAGTTGTACTAGCAGTGTCTTGAGTACATTTAGGACAATTTCACACTATACAGTACATAAAAAAACTTGCCTGTGCATTTTCATGCATTAAAATGTATTTATTTTCATATGCGTCGCAATTTAATTCTTGGTGGCGTGCGGTTTAATGTCATAGGTTGTCAGGTATTCCGACCTATTTTCTGGAATGGTGAAAATAATTACCATTTTTTAAAATATTTTTTTCCTTCAGTTGTGTTGCACTGAGTTTACATACGTTCATGTACGTTGAATTAGAATGCATGCTGCATTATGGAGCAGCTCATTGCAATTTGCATCTCCACAGCGTTATGGTGTGAATGAGGCACATGGTAAGCAGTTGCTTTCTATGTGCCCTTGCAGTGATTTTTATCGTTCTGGTGTGGAAAAACGCAGGGCTCTGCACATGGTGTGAATGGACCCTAATTATTATTATTTTTTTAACGCATGCAAAACTGTAGTTGTTTTCACCTGTGATCTATCACTGTGATTCTCCAGACCAAAGCTGTTACTTAAAGCTAAGATTTGCATCACTGTATTTGAGTAGATTAGTGCCATTCATTTTAGCTTCTTGTATTGTAATGTTTACACCCTGCATGCACTTTCTGTACATGACATAACTTTTTAAATTACTAACTATGGATCCAGCTATAAAATAAAAATTATTAGTGTCAGCTTCAGTTACTGCTCAGGAATCCGAAGTTGGGAGCCACAGTATTCCCACTGTTGTGGGTTTTTCTTGTCTTCAGCTAAGGGTCCGTTCACACCAGACACAGTGCGTTCTGGCCAGAAAGCACTGGATCGTTTGGAGCCCGGCTCACTTTGTTGTGTGGCGGGAGGGGGCATGGCGGTGCATTGACCTCAATGGCACCGTAGCTATGCCCTTCGGCCGCAATGCGATCGGCCACTTGTGAACGCAAGGTACATCAATGCCTGTGGTCCGGTTAGAAAAAATAGTGCGTGCAGCTAATCATTGAACTCCATTAATGAACAGTGACCTATGAAATCTTTTTTTCCTGTGCTGAAAAGGTAAATCCTCTTTTGATATTTGACTTTTTTTGTATGGCTTTATAAAATAAATTCCACTTAAAGAAAACCTGTACAGAGAAATGTATGGAGTTTACTGCTGCTGAGATTTCTTTCTTTCTGAGAGTGTTGTTGGCTTGACTGCTTTGCAGATTTGGGGTTCTTGCTTCACTTGAACATTCTTATCTGCATGTTTCTTCCAGGTTATTGACACCCAAAGTATTAAAACAAGACACAGCTAGGCAACTAATATCCTAAAAAGGAGGTAAAAAATGGCAGGCCCTGTATTTATCTTACTACAGGTTTTCCTTCAAGGTAGAATTTGACTTTAAATCCTTGAAAACCAAAAACTACCTCCTGAATGTGGAAGGAACACTGCAGCACATGGTAAATCACTTGACAATTGCTTTCTCGGTCATCATTTTTAGAGAATTTCTCTTATGTGAATCACAGTAGTGGCTTTCCTGGATGGCTTCGATTGCAGTAGACGTAGGAATTGAGGAGCCACACCAATTAAAATAGTCCATATACAACTTTATTAGGATTAAGGGACATTCAAATAGAATAACCAGTGCATTTCAGAGGGTCTAAAACACGCCTCCTTCATCAGGACGTACAAGCAGCCTGAAGTGCTTTCTTCACAACTCAATACAACTTTCAAGCTACAGGGATTGTAGTCCACACGCATTATTTCTCTCATTAAGCCCTGATGAAGGGGGTGAGTTTTGGACCCCCAAAACACATTGGCTGCTCTGCTTGAATGCCCCCTGATCCTAATGGAATAAAGTTGTATTTGGAGTATTTTAATTGGTTTGGTGCTTCAATTCCTTCATCTACTGTGTTCACTGTCGAGCCAAGGATACTGTGGAGACCCTTTGGCTTGGAAGCTACCTACCTGTTAAAGTAGATCACAAGTTTTTACATCACTTATACAATACTATTGAATTAAAAACACCATCAGAATAATCACACGGATCCACCTTTTTTTTTTGCTTCCAAATATCTGGCTTTTTTCATTGGACAGTGAATACGCTTGAAATGTGTTACTTTCCATCAATGCTTTTAAATAAATTTTCATTTCAGCTACACAGGCGTAATTATTCCTTTCAGGTGTCCACCATGCAGATTGTCCTCTCTGTTTTGAAAGGAGAACTCCAATAAGTACTATTTCCAATTTGTCCGAAAACATGGCTACATTTTAGAAAAGCAATAAAATGCGGGCACTCCTCCTTCTGGCTTAGCAGAGTAGGACTAAACCGAGAATAAAGCCCATTTACCATAATGAGGTGCAAACTGTCAGATCGCAATTGATCAATGGGGGGAGTCATGTGCCCCTACATACGAAACATACAGGTTCATTCTGCAAGAAATAGATATCTGCTTTCCATCTCATGTGTTTGCTTTATCTGTGCTCTGTGCAATTTATGTTTTGTGATTTCATGTTCCTTAAAGGAATGTCCTGTGGTATATAATATTTATATCATGAGCACAGTACTTGGAAAAAACTGTAA